CATACCTCTGATATCCAATACTTGGTACCACATACATTTGAGTAGTGAAGTTGATTGCATTGCATACATAACTACACTTGTAATTGATGATTTTTATGAATTATTCATATGTTTGTTGATTAAGTGTGTTATCCTTTATTGTTTTATGCACCGATAATATTTTTTAATGTATTCTCACCCCCTGCTTGTTTTTATGTTGTTATTTACCCCTGTGGTACAGATACTCCAATAGATGAGTCGTAGCTGTTGTTGAGTGGGAGGATGGTGTAGTGGCCTTCTTCGTTATTTTTTTTGTTTTCGAGTTTATTTTATTTTTCCGCGTGTCACTCTAATAGTACAGCACTGGGATGGGTTATCTATTTTCGATTGTATATTTTTTTTTAGTTTTAAGATTATTAATTTAAATGAAGTTAAATCATATTTTTTTGCGACAATTGAAGTAATTTTGATGTTTTGAGTTCTGCTGCAATGTCAAATTTTTGTTGACTAAGTTTTATGTTGAGCATGTGTAACACTGTTTTTGAGAAAATCAGTATGTAATATCCTATAATTAAGTTTTGGGATTTTAGGGTGTTACACCATTAATGCGTAAATGATGGGCACATAAGACCAATATACCCTCAAAATAAGAGAAGATCCAAGAAACCATGAAAAAAAGCTAAGAGAGTCTACATACCTTGGGATGGAAATGATGTGGAATCCTCTGACAAGGAAGAAGAAAATAGGTGTCTCATGGAAAATCATGAAAAATATGAGGTAACCTCTTATTTATCTTATCAATACTTGTTTTGCATATGTAAAAAGCTAACTAAAGAAACAAGTAAATTAGAACAAATTGTCTCTACCTCCAAAGACATTATTTCTTCCCTCAAATTGAAAAACAAAAACTTATTGACATAAATAGAAAGTCTTAAAGAGAGATAACATGATCTGATTCAAAAATCACCCTCTTATCACGAAGTCTTATATGGATCTATTAAGTGTGTGATTAGTGTGACATTTTAAAAAATAAAATTGATAATCTTCAAAACACACTTCATAAATTCACTAAGGGAATGGACAACTTGAATATTTTGTTAAGTAACCAAAGGGAGTTTTACAATAAGGTTGGTATTAGTTATGAACCTAAGAACAATAGTAAAAACTCTAGCAATATTTGCAATGCCCAATCAACATTTAAATGCAAAACCCTAAAATGCAATTCTTGTAATAAAGATGGTTATATTGCTATGTTATATTTTATCAAAAAGAGTCATGAAAGTAAACAAGGATATCCTCCCTCACATTTTTATAAAGAGCATTGTGAACATAAAAAGGAAAGATGTATGCTCATAATATGCATTCCACTAACATTAAAGGGGGCAAAAAATATTGGATACCAAAGGTCGAAAAGTCAAATTATGGTGCAGATATGTTTGACAAGTAGAATTCAAAAGATGATATCAACAGTTTCTCTTCAGGTCAAATAACTAAAGAAATAAATATGTTCTCTTGTTTCACTCTTACAAGAAGAGAAATCTCTTTTTATAGAAGTAACAAGGCAGTATATTTAGATCTATAATTTTCGTAAGAGCCTTAATCTTACCTTTAAGTTGTTATTTTAACTAAATTTTTATAGCATTATTTACTTTTAAGTAAGTTGTGTGACAAAGGTAATAATGTATCTTTTAATTTCTTCTATATACATGGTATTTAAAAACTTTGAAATAAAATCTTTTTAAATTTTATTTTCGAAAATACCATGACTTTAGAAGAACTCATACATATTATCTTTGTTGAGCTATCCCTAGTAGGTAGAAGTATAAGTTATTGATTTTGCATGGATTTTGGAAAGTACAAACCTAAACAATAATGATAAAGATCAAGAAGTAGAACATGTTCAAGATCATAATGAAAAAGATCATGTAGATCATCATAATATTTCGAAGGAATTGAGGATGACAAAAGACCATCCTATCTAGAATACAATTAAAGATATTTCTAAGGGAGTTACTGCACGTCACTCCCTAACAAGGTATGTAACTTTATGGGTTTTGTTTCAACAATTAACCTAAAGGGAATTAATGAAACTATCATCGACAAACATTGGTCTCATGCTAGGCAATAAGAGTTAAACCAATTAAAAGAAACAACATTTGAGAACTTGTTCCTAAAGCTTTATCTAATTGAGTGATTAAAACCTTAGTGGATCTTTCGCAACAAGCTTGATTTTTTGGAAATTTTTTGAAAAATAAAACAAGAGATGTTGTGAAAGGTTACAATCAACAAAAAGGCATGAATTTCGATGAAATTTATGCTCATGTAGCTCAACTAGAAGCCGTAAGGATGATTATAGATTTTTCATGCATTGTGCTTTCCTAAACTCTTCCAAATGGATGTAAATAGCTTGTTCTTGAACGATTACATCCATAGGAAGTATGTTGATCATTATCCCAATTTTATAAAACTCTTCCTACTAATGTTTTCAAAATAAAATGGGCTCTCTATAATTTTAAACAAGCTCCTAAAGCTTAGTTTGATAGTCTGAATAGTTTTCTGCTTAAAAACATTTTTTTAAGAAGGAAGGATGATACAAAATTTTACAAACCAAACATTTTTACTTATGCGTGTTTTTTTGGATTCAATGCCACTAACAAATTCTAGAGTTGATGTACCGGGGCCTCAATACACCTCTTTGTCAGTATTTTCTAAGTGGCTTCTAATGAGACAGGTAAAGTAGCTTCGGAATTTCCATATACCATATCTAAGTCAGAATCATCAGATAAAGTTACGATTTATGGTTCCAGGTGATTATAATCAAGAGGAGGGATGTGAGAATTAAAGGATGTCCCCATTATCAAGGCACACAGTTTCACCCACATAATCGCTCACTAGGTTAATCGTACTATCACTCATCCTAAATAAAAAACAAGAAATGTTGAAGATAAAAGCTTGAGCTTGTTTATGATGGTACCTGGTTATATGAGATTGATAAAGAAGAAGAAAGGAAAAAAAGATGATACTTTGATTACATAGTGGCAATCGTCCGAGTTAATGCATTCAGGAAGAAAGAAGCAAAAATATTTCTCAATAAAGTGTATGTATATGAACTTGAAGGCAAAAAGATTGAGAAAAGTTTCTAAAATGCTCAACTTTTGTTATGTATAATTGAATAGTCTTTTTGCCAAAGACTGCTGAACGTTACATATCAGTTAAAGAAAGGAGTTATGAAACCAACGACTAGATTCCGTTTTAGGAATACATGCAAACTCAAGTGCATTCAAGTGCACTATAAGCTATGTCATGCCCTAATTTGTCGCGCCAACGCACACGTCAGAAAAGGCATCAAAATGTTTCAATGATGGAAACATATTTAATGCGCTTGTTTTCCACTACTTTTTAAACTGACTCCAAACACTTCAAGTCTAGATCTCCTCGGAAAATGTATTAGATGCAGACCATATTACTGATGGCCCAATCTGCCTCAAATACACTCCACTAAACTCAAGGTATAAAGTTAGTATTCACAAGATACAATCTCTAATCTCCACTTTCATATAATATTCATCTTCACTGCTAGAAAATTCGCTTTTAGTGACCAAATTAGTGACTAAAAAATTTTGGTCACTCTAGTGACCGAATTAGCCACCAAAATTAAACATCATGTTAGCAAATTTTAAAAATCGCTAAATCGGTCACAAAATAAAATTAGCCACCGAATTAGCGGCTGATATTTTGTGACCAAAACTTTCAGTCTCAAATAATCATTTTTATATAAATTAATTCATAAAAAAATTCAATGACCAAAATTTCGGTCACTAACATTTCTTTTTGTTTTTTTCATTATTAAGTTACTTTCCTCCCAATTTTCTCCTTTTTTTTTATTTTAATCAAAATTTTAACATATATTTATATAAATAATTAACACATACAAATTTATTAATTTAAATAAAATATAATTTTATGACAATTAGTATAATAATATTTGAAATTTTTATTTCATTTATATATATATATATATATATATATATATATATATATATATATATATATATATATATATATATATATATATATATATATATATATATATATATATATATATATATATATATATATATATATATATATATATATATATATATATATATATATATATATATATATATATATATATATATATATATATATATATATATATATATATATATATATATATATATATATATATATATATATATATATATATATATATATATATATATATATATATATATATATATATATATATATATATATATATATATATATATATATATATATATATATATATATATATATATATATATATATATATATAACAACACGTTAGTTTTAAATTTGTTAAGATTTTTCATTATGGAGAATTTTTAAATTTTCTTTTCAAATACACATTAGTAATTTAGTATTGATCAGATTTTTTTTAAGAGTGGATAAGTTTATAGAGACTTTACAAATATTATTTATTTTATAATTAATTAACTACTCTATTTAATAACAAATTAATCTTTCCAACTCATCAATCAAATTTTATCATTAAATCTTAACAAATTATCTATATATATATAATTTGTTAAAATTTAATGATCGAGAAGATTTTGTTGAGGTGCTGAGTTGGATAAATTAGTTCATTATTAAATATAGCAATTAACCAATTATAAAATAAGTAATGTGTGTATTTGGAAAATCTCTATGTATAAAAAATTTATCTACTCTTCAAAAAAAGAAAAGAAAATCTGATCATTATTAATCTGTATTTGAAAAAAATCTTTACAAATTCTCCATGATTGATTTGATCATCAAATTAGAAAAATTTAAACAAATTCAAAACTAACGTTGTTGTTCTTTATTGAGATAAGGTTCGGATTATTATCAAAAGTAACAGTTTGCAGCATAGAATCTTATTTTGTGTCTGTATTTATATTGAAACTAACATTGTTGTTGTGATTCTTATTGTGAAGTTGTTTTGAGAGGAAGAAAAAATGGACAAAGGTAGAATGTTTTTGCTGATGCTGTTGCAATGTTGGATAGCTATGGCAGGAGCTGAGCATTTCAAATACAAAGATCCAAAGCAACCATTGAATACTCGAATTAAGGATCTTGTTGATAGAATGACTTTGGAAGAGAAAATCGGTCAAATGGTTCAAATTGAGCGCAAGGTTGCATCTGCTGATGTGATAAAGAAGTATTACGTTGGTAAGTTGTTGTTATTCATCGTAAATCTGAACTGCGACGCAAAGGTTTATGTTATGTTCTGTAACTGCGTGAAAAAATTACTGCAGGGAGTGTTCTAAGTGGTGGTGGAAGTGTTCCGAGGGTGAATGCTACTGCGAAGGATTGGGTTGATATGGTGAATGAGTTTCAAAAAGGTGCATTATCAACTAGGCTTGGAATTCCAATGATTTATGGAGTTGATGCTGTTCATGGTCATAACAATGTTTATAATGCTACTATTTTTCCTCACAATGTTGGCCTAGGAGTTACAAGGTAAATTAATAAACATTATGCTTCTGATGCGGTAGAAAGGAATTGACCTACAAGATTAACATTCTAATGTTTCTGAGCCTTTGTCCCTTTGGCCTTGTGGGCGACCGGGATTAATTGTGTGTGATTATGTTTATTTGTATTGATGATTTAGTTTCTTTGAATTTGTAGGGATCCTCGACTATTGAAGAGGATTGGTGAAGCAACTGCTCTTGAAACTAGAGCGACCGGAATTCCATATGCCTTTTCTCCTTGCATTGCGGTAATTAAGATAATCAAAAATTACCTATCTGTCAATCGCGCAATACAAAAGATATTCGTTTGTTCAAATTCTGCTACGCTATAACTATAACGTATATGTTTGTATAGGTTTGTAGAGATCCAAGATGGGGTAGATGTTACGAAAGCTATAGCGAAGATCATAAAATTGTGCAAGCTATGACTGAGATCATTCCAGGATTACAAGGTGACGTGCCTCCGAATTTCCCAAAGGGTTTTCCGTATGTTGGTGGAAACAAGAAAGTAGCAGCTTGTGCGAAACACTTTGTTGGTGATGGTGGAACAACAAAAGGAATCAATGAGAACAACACAGTTGCAACCAGAGATGAACTGCTTAGCATTCACATGCCAGCTTACTATAACTCAATTAGCAAGGGTGTTTCGACCGTCATGGTTTCTTACTCAAGCTGGAATGGACGGAAAATGCATGCTAATCACGATTTAATCACTCGATTTCTCAAGAACAAACTCCGTTTTCAAGTAACACTTTACTTTGTAAATCTCTCATATATCAAATTTTGTTGTTTATCAGTATATGCTTAAGATTTTGTGTTTGTCTTTTGCAGGGTTTTGTCATATCAGATTGGGAGGGAATTGACAGGATAACTTCACCTCCTCATGCTAACTACACATATTCAATTGAAGCCTCAATCAATGCCGGTATTGACATGGTAAACTATGAATTTTTTCAAGTCTTCTGTGTAGTTATTTTTAATTTATAGATGAGGGAGACCAATCCCACCGTCCACTTGCAGGTGTCTTATTTAAAGCCAAATATGAACTGGCTCAACACAGAAATTGTTAGGGATCAAACTCGATATTCTGAAGCTTGCGCGTATAAATCATGTGTGCTCTTTGGTATCAATGACTTGATTTTATAAATAGAAAATATGGTCTATAATACTTAACCTTGTAATGCTGCAGGTAATGACTTCAGATAACTACACAGAATACCTAGATGGCTTAAAGTTACTAGTGCAAAAAAATGTTGTACCTATGAGTAGAATTGATGATGCAGTGAAAAGAGTCTTGAGAGTCAAGTTTGTGATGGGTCTATTTGAAAATCCATTGGCTGATTACAGTCTCGCCAACCAAATCGGGAGCCAGGTTAGTCGATCACCTTCGAGTTAAATATGTTTTTCTTTTCACCAGCAGGATCTGGTCCAGTGGACCGACTAATCCAGTTCGGGGACATTAAAAATGGTTTTAGTCCCTACAAAATGCTAAAACTACATAATTTGACAGGAGCATAGAGAATTGGCTAGGGAAGCTGTGAGGAAATCATTAGTACTATTAAAGAACGGCAAAACTGCTCATAAGCCATTGCTTCCTCTTTCTAAAAAGGCTCCGAAAATACTTGTTGCCGGAAGTCATGCTGATAATCTCGGATATCAATGCGGTGGATGGACGATGGAATGGCAAGGACTTAGCGGCAACAACATTACTAGTGGCACCACAATTCTAAATGCGATAAAAAACACAGTCGACAAAGGCACCGAGGTAGTCTATCAGGAGAATCCATCTCTCGACTACGTAAAGTCAAACAATTTTGCGTACGCGATTGTGGTAGTCGGAGAGACACCATACGCAGAAACAAAAGGCGACAGCTTAAACTTAACGATATCTGGTAAGGGAGGAGAAACAATAAACAATGTATGTGGCGGAGTAAAATGTGTGGTTGTGTTAATCACAGGCAGACCTGTGGTTATGTTACCGTATGTTGATATAGTCGAAGGACTTGTTGCGGCTTGGCTTCCGGGTAGCGAAGGAAATGGTGTTACAGATGTTTTGTTTGGTGATTATGGATTTAGTGGGAAACTTGCAAGGACATGGTTTAAGAGTGTTGATCAGTTACCTATGAATGTTGGTGATTCTCATTATGATCCTTTGTTTCCATTTGGATTTGGTCTTACAACTAAAGGTCTTAAGAGTAGTTAGAGCTTATTGGAGTTTGTGGAATCATTTTCCATTTCACATGTTGACACCATTTTGGAATTGTAAATGGTGAAACTGATTGAAGAGATTATGCTGTAAAAATTCTTAAGCTTCAATTGTTGGGTGTTGTATCATATAAGTGTGTATATGTAATAAAATATCAAATGAAGTTAATAGTTTTCCTAAGTTATCCTAACATGGCCTAGCTAGTTAAAAGAAAACAAGAATCAATCATGTCATATTCTTATATTCTACATTGCAACCAGAATCAGTGTTATGCTAAAAACGTTTACAGTTGGATATTTATATAATATTACATAATATTATAGTATAATATTACATAGTATTATAGTATAATATTACATAGTATTATAATATATTAATCCAAGAGCAAAAATTTATCAAGCACTCTATAGTTTAACTGCACAAGGTTATTGCATCTTCCAACAGTTTCACTATATTAGGTGTGAGGAGGTGGATTTTCCCTTGACCTTGACATATTTTGTTACATAAGTGTCATAATTTATTTTTATAGGAATAGTGGTATATTACCCTTCAACTTAAAATTACTATGGATTTTAGACATAGAATCAAATATTTTCTTTTCTTTTAAACGTAGATTGTAACATAACAATTATAAAGACAATTGTTGGATATTCTACAAATCATTATGAGTATCATGACAGAGTATGACTGTAAAAAGTATGGTCGTACTTTGAGACAAAAAAAAGTATGGTCGTGCTCAAATAAATCAATATAAGATATTAAGTTTATTTGTTGTTATCAAGTATACTCAGATATCTAAGAATATAATTAGAGTTGGCAAAACGGGACCAACCGTTGAACATGCTCGTTTTGTCTGCACCTTAGTGAGGGATGAACCAAAGATTTAGGCATCTACTCTTTAATGTTTCCGCCCCATTTTTTTACGGGCTTTTGCGGTCGCGGACATTAACATAATTTAATGCATTTTTAGACTTAAAAGATGCAGTGCACATGGGTCTGCCCCGCACCGCCCGCACTTTAGTGTAAAACGGATTAATGTTTTAGGCTTGCATCCTCAACTATGTCTGTCACTCCCCATTATTTTACGGTCTTTTATGGGGCGGACGTTAATGAGGCGGACATACTCGTTTATCACTTCTAAATATCACATTGGACGGTAAAAAGGTGACACGTTCTATACCTTGTATTCAATATAGATATAAGGGAAAAAATAATTATACACATAATCATTAATATAGAAAGGTTATTTCAGATCACATGACATTCTCGTCAATTGAGTAGTAAGCGGGCGACCCGCCCGATTTGAACCCGTCCAAAAGCGGGACGGGCCAACTTAGGCGTCTGAGCTCAAAAGTCAAGTCTGCCCCGTTTACTAACGAGTTGGCAGGTTGGCTCACCAATTTTTTTTACAATTTGATTTACTAAATAATTTACAAAATTGTTAACATTACCAAAGAGACCGACAAATTTTAACAATGCATAGTAAAACTTTAAGAAGTCTTAATGTAAATGTCATATTCTTTAACATAAACAAAAAACGTAAATATAATACCAAAAACTTAAAACAAACAAATTAAAATAAGAAAATAATCTTTTTGGTTCAAAAAATTAACAAAGACAGTCTAATTAAGAACATCTAGTGACACAAATCAATAAAACAAACTAGCACAAGGTAAACAAAGATAACTAAGTAGATTTATTAATATGGAATCATCTCATAAATAAACACAATCCAAGAAAAATCAAAACTTCATTATTTAAAAATCATCACTAAAAATAATAAACACTTAGTTGAGCATTTTAGTGTCAAAAAATATATAAAATGAGAACTCATATAGAATAAAACACGAATCAAAATTTTATTATCATAATGAGAAACAAACCCCTATGTGCAAAACTTACCTTATAGCTTTAGTACTCAACTCTAATGACAACGAGTAATAGAAAATAGAAAAGAATGTATTTTCTATGTTTTACAATAATAACTTTTCATACTATTAGTGAAAATAAAGAAAGAAGCAGAGACCAATTAATGTCTTCAAAATGAGGTATTTGTGGTTATGTGAAAAATGAACATTAGGGTTTGAAGAAATGAGAGTTGTTTTAAAAGTATTTCTACTACATACCTTGTTAATATTGTGTTAATTCCAAATAAAAAATAATAATTTTTTTTAACAAAAAGCTCGTGAGCAAAACCCGCCCCGCCCCGCCCTGCCTTCGGCCTGTTTTAAAAATGAGTTAGGAAGGGCGAGTCAATTTAAAACACCTAACCGAAAACCTTGTCGCGACCCGCTAAAAATTGTGGGTTAAATTGGCGGGCCCGACGGACCTAACCCGTTTACCATCCCTAATTGTGATGTGTTGTTAGACACCCCTCTCCGCTTGTAATATTAAATAGGTGAATTGATTTTATTATCAACATTAAAAGAATCTACAAGGTCTCCCTTATAGAATAGAGATATAGAATAGAGATAGGAGAACTAATGGTTAAATTAAATAATATTAAATTTAATTATATAGTGTTAGTTATTTAACAGTAGTATTATTTAATATATTGACAATTATATAATTTATTTGATAAAATATTATTTAATTAATTAAATAAAAATTATAAATTAACTATGATATAATTTAATTAATATTTTATTTAATTAAAAAAGTTTAATTAAATATAAATAAGATTAGATTTATTTTGAAAAGTCTACATAATAGTATGAAGGTTTTAGAAGCTATTTATAACAATAGCGTAAGAATAAGATTTGGTTCTACATCTGACATTTGAGTTTTGATGCTAACTACACATGTCATCTAAGAGAACAATTATGTATGATATGGTTTTTGTCTTGTGTGGCTATTGTCAAAATGATTCTAACTCTAAAAAGAAGACGTGTGACGTCATCAGACTCTATTATCAACACTTAGGAAGAAAAATATTTATGTGTATAAGATAAAGTCAAGATTCAGAAATACTTTTAATACAACAGTTCTAAAAAACGTTAGTAACAAGGTTTCTGATTGATAGTTTATAAGTAAGCCTAGAAGGCTTTACAATAAATGCACTTTCTATTGTTACAGCTCTGAAGATTCTGAAGACATGGTTTTGGTGAACAAAGCTATGAAGATTCTAAAGACATGGTTTTGGTGAACAAAGCTATGAAGATTCTAAAGACATCATTTATAAAGATCAAGTTCTGAAAAGTTTCTGAAGACAAGGTTCAGATTGAATGAAGTGTTGAAGACATAGAATGTGCTTAATGATATCTAAAGACTCTGAAGATGAGGCTCTGATGGAATAGGCTCTGAAGACTCTGAAGATAATGCTTCTAAGAAATCAAGTACTGAAGATTCTTATGACTAGGTTCTGCTGAACGAAGATCTAATATTCTAAAGACTGTGGTTCTGAAGATTACACAAAGAATGACTCTTCTACAACACGCTTCATCAAGTTAATATCTGAAGCCTATGAAGATGCTAGAAAACTGAAATAAGAATGGTATTGAGTAAAATATAATAGTACAAAAACTTTGTGACTTCTACCTCGAATAGGTGGCACAAGAGCAGCTTTTTATACAGTGATGTTGACCATTCATTCATAAGAACGTTGGGATATTGTTGTTGGAATATGTTTCCAAGAATACCCCTCAACGAATATATTCTCTTAAGCTCTATAAATTAAAGATCAAGAAGATTGAAAAGTTGTAGGTTGCTAGTTGTTAGTAGTTGGTTTTTGATTGCTAACAGTTGATTGCTAGCGATAGCACAATACCATACAAAGCCAAAGTGCTGAAGAAAATGCTACAAGCTGAAGCTTAAATGAAGAATGATCAATGAAGAAGAAGCTGAAGCAAACTGTTAAATATGTGTACAACGATGCAACATGCTCAAGCCATGTGAAACTAGTCAAGTGAAACATCAATAAGTGAAGCATAAAAACTTAGTTGATCTTGATGGTTAAGCTGGAAAGAAGCATTATCTGCTCGAGAAAGGAGTTCATCAAAAGAAGCTTAAAGCTCATGAAAAGAAGTTGTAGTGCTCATCAAGAAATATTTTAAGCAATACAGAACTAATGTATTATAATCTCCCAAAGATTCATTCTTTAGATAGTTTTGTATAGTAGAAAGCAAGGAATTGTTGCTCATATCTTGATTAGAAACACTTAGTTGTTCATGTAATTCATTTGTGTAATCAGCTTGTAAGAAGCATATTGGTGCACAAGAAAATCCTTGTAAAAGGTATTGTTTGTTGAGCGGTCGAGTGAAGACCAGAATGCTTGAGAGGGACAGGTCGTTTCTAACGGCTTAGAGGTTGATTCCTTTAGAGGCTAGTGAAAGCCAGGATTCTCAAGAAGGAAATAGAAGGTATCCATTGTGGTTGTAATCATTGATATTTATTGGATTAAGTACTTGTGATAAGGTAAAATCACCTTGGTGGGTGGACTGGAGTAACTTCGTTAACAGTGAATCAGGATAAAAATAATTGTGTCATTTATTTTTATTGTCATTGTTAGATTTATCTTTCTAATTCCGCAAAAGGGGACAAAATGTGAAACTCAATTCAAACCCCATTTCTTTTGTTTCTTAACCTTTAATTGGTATCAAAGCTCTGGTTCTGTTATTGATGTTTATCAAACACTTAGTCTTGTCAAATAAAGATTCGAATAAGCTTTGAGAAATGCTCTAGTTAATCTCCTCCACCATCTACAATTTCAGTCTCATATAATGATGAAAAGATTGAGTACTGAAATGAAAAACCAGAAAGGTTCATTCTAGAGTGTGTCACTAATATTTAGAGTTAGTTATTATTGACAACATAATCCTCTCTCATGGCGCTTGCAAGAAGATTAAAAGTAAGATGAAGAATTAGATGGTAAAAAGATAATAGACTCATCAGATAATTAGAAGAATCTGATGAATGTTATTCTTGGAATACGTTAGTTGAGAACTACGTATCTCCTCAAGGTGGTGCCTAGACAAGGCTTAAAAAGAATCATTAAGCAA